AGGAGTTAATATAATCGGTATATTTTTTCTTGTATAAAATGAAGGGAATAATATATGTTATAGAGGAAAAAAAATTAATTAAAATTTCCCGTGTGGTGTTTGTGTTATAGGCGGCTTCGTCCCGTGTGGTGTTTGTGTTATAGGCGGCTTCGTCCCGTGTGGAGGATGTAGATACAACACGAAACAATGGCTATAAATTGGATAAGTTTAGATTTAGGAAAGACCTGGGTAAATACTGGTTTGGTAAGAATGTTGTTGATTTGTGTAGCATATTACCGAGTAACATAATAGTCATGGGATCATATGATTGTTTCAAACGTAGGTTAAACATTTTATGAATGATTTTGGGTTGATATAAATAGGAGCTGCATCGTATGAGCCAATAGGTCTTCTGCAGTTTCTTAAATCCTTATTATCTTTTTACAGTTGGAAACCTAATTTAGCATTGTTTTTGAACATCGAAAAATATATTTCGTAAAAAGGAAATCATTTGGGATATGAATAGAAATGTTAATTTGGAAAATTACCTCCAATATTAATAAAGATATTCTGTCAGAACTGCCAATCATATCTAATATTCCAAATAAAGTAGGCAATAATCTAATATTAAACACGTTGTTATATGAGATGTATATTGTACTTTATTATTGCAGCGAATTGAAGTGTAATAATATGTTGCAAAATTGCTTCATGTTGGCTCTATCTGAAGTGTAATAATATGTTGCAAAATTGTTTCATGTTGGCTCTATCTGAAGTGTAATAATATGTTGCAAAATTGTTTCATGTTGGCTCTATCTGAAGTGTAATAATATGTTGCAAAATTGTTTCATGTTGGCTCTATCTGAAGTGTAATAATATGTTGCAAAATTGCTTCATGTTGGCTCTATCTGAAGTGTAATAATATGTTGCAAAATTGTTTCATGTTGGCTCTATCTGAAGTGTAATAATATGTTGCAAAATTGCTTCATGTTGGCTCTATCTGAAGTGTAATAATATGTTGCAAAATTGCTTCATGTTGGCTCTATCTGAAGTGTAATAATATGTTGCAAAATTGTTTCATGTTGGCTCTATCTGAAGTGTAATAATATGTTGCAAAATTGTTTCATGTTGGCTCTATCAACCTGTGGGGAGTTAAGGCTGCTACAGTTCCTTATTAACTGACTAACCATCAAGTGTACTTTGTCCCTAACCATCGGTGTTCCAGGTCTGATCCACGTGGAACACGTCTGATCCACGTGGAACACGTCTGATCCACGTGGAACACGTTTGATCCACGTGGAACACGTTTGATCCATGTGGAACACGTCTGATCCATGTGGAACACGTCTGATCCACGTGGAACACGTCTGATCCATGTGGAACACGTCTGATCGACGTGGAACACGTCTGATCCATGTGGAACACGTCTGATCCATGTGGAACACGTCTGATCGACGTGGAACACGTCTGATCCATGTGGAACACGTCTGATCCACGTGAAACACGTTTGATCCACGTGGAACACGTTTGATCCACATGGAACACGTCTGATCCTCGTGGAACACGTCTGATCCACGTGGAACACGTCTGATCCACGTGGAACACGTCTAATCCACGTTTTATAGTTATCTCTCTTATTGATTACTATTGAAGAGAATGTGTGTGTTGGTTTGCCTGTCTAAGGTTCGAGCCCAGATGCTTGAGGCTAACCTCATCAGACTTTGCAGGGGGAATGTTGTGGGGAAAGGGACGTACATAAGCAGATATTCATCCCCTAAATTCAAGAAAGAATAGTGTGGCAGAATCCCATTCTGACCACCACAATGTTTTTTTTTTGCACTGACCGCCGGCCACCCATAACTAAATATTTTGAAAATACAAATTTAAATTTACTTTCCATTGTAATATACACCATTATTCACTTATCTCGGGAAAATTAACTTGAATAATTTGTTATTTATTAACATATATTTATATAATATATTTATATTATATGTGGATATTCTGCTATTCATACTTTGGCCTTAGTAGCACAAAACAGACGATTCTTCTACAGCTTCGAAAGTTTTCTCAAGTAGAGATTTTTTCTGAAGGCAAAAAGGTAACTTTTATATTATATTATTCTATATACAATAAAGAAGGAGGAGGAAGTGTTCTGTTGTGGGGTGAGGGAGGGTTGAGAGCCTCGTTGTAACACTATAAATGTCTTATACTAAATATATGAAAGGAATAGGAATATATAAGAATATATAAGGAATATGTCAAATAAAAACTAGAAAAACATAAATTTCATTACGTGTAAAATTATGAATATTAATTCGAATTCACAATGATAGAATAATTTAATACAGTTATCCACGAATATCCAGAGAGAGTGGATAATGTGTAACTTATCATCAATATCCAGATTGTCGTAGTGGTAAATTAGATTTTAATTTTAGAAAATAATTCCAAGGAATTGATGCAAGTTTCGTGCGAGGTTTCGGGTCCTCACAAGCAGTGTTTCTGAGACTGCTCAGAGATATAGTTACTCTGGCATCTGTAAAAGATAACTAATCTGTTACATAATTTATTATTCTCATTCATCGCCTGTTAAGGGCTTTACTTCATTGTCTCGATCTTTATTATTAAGTGGTAAAGAGGTGTCAGAGGCTAGATCCTGCTCTCATATTATGCACTACTGAGCTTTACTACCCCACAGACTGACCTGAAACCTTGTTTCTTAGGTCCTCGGAGCAATTGGCCATTTTGGGCCAAGATGCGCACGAAATGTCCAAGTTTCACAGGTGATCTTAGTTGGTTCTTCTTCTGATGTAGACAATTTTTGTTTTTCATTTATGTAAGTAGATACACTGGAAGATATCTTCTGGCACTTGTAAGTAGGGTTAGATCTCAGCTATCCTACAGCTTATCTATATATAATCTCAGCCCTTACTCTCTTAGTTTGCCTTGGAACACGATCGCATCAATTGATTTACAACCAGATATTCAATTACTTCTGCCTAGATAGAGGCGAACTGTTAAGGAACTATGCTAAAGCTTTTTGGCTTATTCTGTGGGCTTTTCCACACTGACACCTGAGCCAGCTTGACTCAGCTTATTCACGTTATTCATCTTTATTAATAGGTAAGATAACGGCCCAGCCATGGTGATGACACCTGAGGGAAGACTCCTACTCATGTACTGTAGCACACACTGGGGTCTCTTCTGCGGGCTCACCATAGCCCGTGCTACTTGGAACTTTTTTTCCAGGTAGCAAATGTTAAACAACAGCAACAACAACTGGGGTCTGTTTCTTGCATCTATGCCGCCTCCACGTCGTAAAATCCCGTTTTCTGTTTTGGGTCCTCTGGCTTAGTTTGACTGACGGAGCCGGTCGGCCGAGCGGACAGCACGCTGGACTTGTGATCCTGTGGTCCTGGGTTCGATCCCAGGCGCCGGCGAGAAACAATGGGCAGAGTTTCTTTCACCCTATGCCCCTGCTACCTAGCAGTAAAATAGGTACCTGGGTGTTAGTCAGCTGTCACGGGCTGCTTCCTGGTGGGTGGAGGCCTGGTCGAGGACCGCGCCGCGGGGACACTAAAAGTCCCGAAATCATCTCAAGATAACCTCAAGATAACTGGTTAGGAAAAGACCATTTAACAGCTTTCACGACGTCTCGAAACCTCAAAAGAATTCCCTGCCCTCCTAACCTCCCAGAGGAACCTTAACTGGCTGCTTTGGGTCCATTTCATTTGGAAAAGGAATTTCCATTTTCTAGTACGGCAATTTTTGGCCGTTATCTTGAGGTTATCTTGAGATGATTTCGGGGCTTTAGTGTCCCCGCGGCCTGGTCCTCGACCAGGCCTCCACCCCCAGGAAGCAGCCCGTGACAGCTGACTAACACCCAGGTACCTATTTACTGCTAGGTAACAGGGGCATTCAGGGTGAAAGAAACTTTGCCCATTAGTTTCTGCCTCGTGCGGGAATCGAACCCGTGCCACAGAATTACGAGTCCTGCGCGCTATCCACCAGGCTACGAGGCCCCTTACCTTAATGCCGTAGCGCATACGAGCGAAAAGCGACGTTCTATGTAAGAGGACGGGTTTTATTTTCCACCGGCGGCCCCAAGATAATTTACGGGCTATTCATGCCCGTGCCACCTCTTGGGTGGCTTAATCTTTATCAATCAATCAATCCAAGATAATAAAACCTTCAAAGAAGTTTTATTGATGTGATTTACGTCTCTCGTGTTGCCTCTTGGGACAACAAAGTCAGTGCAATAAAATACATAGACTCTTGTATCATCATTATTGATATTTATATACGTAATTATTTAAATAAAAATCTATTCATCTTCTACTTTTGCTCCTTATCTTTAACTTTATTCGTGGGTACACATTCACAAGGACCTTGATCACTGATATAGCTTTTTGTTCATTAATATATCCTTTTGTTCATTAATATATCCTTTTGTTCATTAATATATCCTTTTGTTCATTAATATATCGTTTTGTTCATTAATATTTCCTTTTGTTCATTAATATATCCTTTTGTTCATTAATATATCCTTTTGTTCATTAATATATCCTTTTGTTCATTAATATATCCTTTTGTTCATTAATATATCCTTTTGTTCATTAATATATCCTTTTGTTCATTAATATATCCTTTTGTTCATTAATATATCCTTTTGTTCATTAATATATCCTTTTGTTCATTAATATATCCTTTTGTTCATTGATATATCCTTTTGTTCATTGATATATCCTTTTGTTCATTGATATAACCTTTTGTTCATTGATACATCCTTTTGTTCACTAATATATCCTTTTGTTCATTAATATATCCTTTTGTTCATTGATATATCCTTTTGTTCATTAATATATCCTTTTGTTCATTAATATATCCTTTTGTTCATTAATATATCCTTTTGTTCATTAATATATCCTTTTGTTCATTAATATATCCTTTTGTTCATTGATATATCCTTTTGTTCATTAATATATCCTTTTGTTCATTAATATATCCTTTTGTTCATT